GCTGCAGTGGGTTGCCATAAGCTACCATGTGTGGCCAGCAGCCTATGTGAGCTGTCACGTGCTGCCGTCTAGAGGCCGGTGACGGACCTGCCTCATCCGGGAAGAGCGCAATGATGATACCAACATGGGCCAGTGAAGCAGCGTCCTCCACAACTAGACTGACGAACGAAGAGGACAGCAACTTGTCTGTTCCCCTTCCCCTGATTCCTCAGCGCTGTTCCCCTCCCCCAATTCCCCAATAAAATCTTAAAAAAAAAAAAATTCTCATCCATTTATTCTAATGTGAAGGGTGGTCTCAATGAAAAGTTTGGATTATTTATTTTTCGGATTATCTTCCTGTCTACACAAATTTCAAAATTGTGACACATATTATCTAAATTTAAGTTCTACCAATGCTGTTCTACTATATGCTATTTACAACTACCAGTGCCTGACACATAGTAAACATTCAAAAAATACTTGAATAAGCTGTATGTAATGCACATAAATTGAGTTACATTCAGAAACCACACATTAAATATTCAGTAAATCTTTCATTGCCCCATGTATCATCTTCAATCCATATGCATATGTGTAATTAATTACTAGGCTGACTGATTTTAAAGTGTTTCATTGGGAAATTTAAATTCCAAATAAATATGATCAAATAATAATTAATGTCATAGTAAAGTTACCTAACTAGGTGGGGGACAGAAAATGGCTTACCTCTCCATAGATTCTAAATGTTCCAGTATCTTCATCTAGCTCAATTGCTGTAACTCCAGGAACCTTCCTAGCTTGTTGTATGTTACTACCATGTGTTCCTATTGCCAGACCCATCAAATCTTCTCTCACAACAAATTCCTCATGAAAAGCTGCTGCAAGTTGTTTTGTGCACTAGTAAAAGAGGTATATTAGAATTAGAAAAATCAGAAACAGAAATTTTTTTTTGTATACCCATATTCATAGCACTATTCACAACAGTCAAGAAGTACAAGAAACCCAAATATCCAGACTGGATAAACAAAATATGATATATGCATACAACGCAAAGTTATTCAGCCTTAAAAAGAAAATTCTGACATAGGCTACAACATGGACAGGCTACAACACTGAAGACATTATTATGCTTACTGAAATAAGCCATTCACAAAACAACTAATACTATATGATTCCGCTTACATGTGGTATCTAGAGTAGTCAAATATATAGAAACAGAAAGTAGAATGGTGGCTGCCTAAAGGCTGAGGAAAGGGGAAGCTGTCATTTAATGGGTATAGTTTCAGTTTTGCAAGAGAAAACTCATTTAGGGTCATATAATGGAAGGGGAGAAAATGGTTTGATGAGTCTCTAACAGCCATGATCACAAAAACAGTAATTCTAAAACAATTTTCTAAAACTACTGATATAGGCAGTTCAATTCAGATGATTTATGTTTCAAAGCTCATTTGCATATCCCTGGTTTGGAACTTTAAAATTAATAAGGGCACTCACAAAACTGTACTAAATAATACCTTAATTTCTCTAAGACAGTGTGTCAGTGCATGTGCATTTAAGGGAGAGTGGGAGAAACAAATCTCTTAAGTGTGGCAGTAACAAATAGCATCTAGGGACAAGACAGAAAAGCAATGTTAGGCTCTTTTTAAAACCTACAAGCTTTGTGTTCTCCTCTTCTCTTACACAAAAGTTGTTATAATAATCTGTTTACTAATGGAAGTGTGTTGTGACTGACAGGTGACAAGGTAGTAAAGAAAAAAAAAGAAAAAGAAAAAACAGGTTAAGGATAAAGAATTAGCAATACAGTTCTACCAGATATCCCTAGTGAGTTTCTAAGTTCTTTGGCACCTGTCGCCTAAGTCCTAACAAAGAACAGGCATTTAGCAAATGAGAGCTATGTTTGAGAAAGTAATAGAAAAAATCCAATTCTTCTAAGAACACAATGACATCACAAAACAGGTCCTATGTTGCCTTACGTAATAGTCAAGTAGTTTGATCCAGGGAACATAAATATACTTATAAAACTGGGACACACAAAAAACCTTTTCTGAATAAACCCACTTACTTCTAAATGCTTAGTGGCCTCTTCATTTCTGGACATAAGCATCAACTTCGTACGAATACTTCGCAAGTGCATGTCACTTAAAATATTTACTCTCTTCACAGTTGCTTCACTGGCAGACTATTAACAAACAAGTTAATCACTCAAAAACTTAATCATTTTTCAAGATAATACAAATGAGACCTTCACAATAAAATCTTCCTTGATTCTCACTGACTATATTTCTCATCTAACACAACTCCTACCCCAAGTAATCTTACTTTCCTTGCTGAATTCCCTTATGAAATTCCACTATTCACATTATGATTGGGGCAGAGGAGGGTGCGCAAAACCCCACACATTAAGAATTTTATAATGTTAAGAATGTCAAAAGATTTTTCCTCACTTCTGGAAAAAAAAAATTTAGCATTTTAGAACTACCAAATTTTTTCTTCCACACTGTTATTAATAAATCCACTATACACCAAGTTAGCTTTTATTTTCTGAAATACTTAATTATAAAATCAGTAATTAAATATGGAGTTATCTTACCAGTATCATTAGCTGTGTGGTTTCTGGATGGTAAAAAATTCTGCATGCTCCTACTGCCTTCTTAAAATCTTTATGTGCATTCTCATTAGCACACCTAGAGGGAAATTAATTCATGTATAAGACCTAAATAATAGATTAAATTAGAGGGCATTTATAATGCAAACTCAGTATCTCATTTTGACACCACCCATTAAAAAGAGTACAATCAGAAGTTTTTGATTAGGTGTTTGGAGGAAAAAAGATTTTTGCAGCACTTAAAAATCCTCTTGGGCTGGCCGAGTGGCGTGATGGTTAAGAACTGGCTTGGGACGCCAGAGGGCCCTGGTTCAGATCCCACATATGAGGGTCAGTGACACTGCCCTCNTTCCACAATAAATTAATTTTGGTTTAACGGGGTTAAAATGAAAGTCTTTCCTATTGCATGCTTGAGAGAACAGTTTCCATTAAAGAATAAATAAGGGAACAATGGCAATAGTAAGCTGGGAAATACAGCAGAGACACGATTACAGGGTTTTCTATCCCTATTCTCAAATCTCCTTCCCCATTAATAACCCCACATTTAAAAGCAACAGCAATTGAACATTTAAAAAAAAAAAAATAAGAGGTCAGGGAATTCACATGGTGCATGTCTTCTGAGCAGCCCTAGCAGCAGCACATAAAAGCAACCTTCATTGTTAACACAGTGAGGCTCAAGCAGCAACTCCGTCCTTCACCCTGCTAAAAATAAGCAAATACCTTTTCGAAAAAACAAAAATCATGTTGATACATCATAATCTCCCCCACCCACAAATCTGTACCCCTTTCTTCTTGTGAACTATACCAGTGGTGAGTGAACATCCATCACCTTTCTATGGTGTGTGGCAAGGACCTACCTGCAAGTTTTATTTAATCCCACCAGAGACTGTCAATATTTTAACTGATCATTTCCACAGTTTACATTCCAAAGCATACTGACAAACTGAAGCAGACCTGTAGTATAAATCAAGCACTGAACATAAACGCTGAAGGGACAGAGTAGAGACGTGATTAAGGAAGGCTTCTAGGAGGTGAAACATTTTGATTCATTTTCAAATCAGTGTTCACATATTTTTTTCTTTTGATTTGGGAGGGATGGGAATGGATGGTCAAGTTCTAGAACTCTTGGAACCTGAATAAGGAAATCCTCTCTGGAACTTACCCACCAAGTAGTCCTCATTCCCTTTTACTCCTCAGTCCGCTTTTTCTCTTTCACTTGGACTAAGAATGTATTATTTTTTAAAAGACTGCTTCACCCACAAAACATTTTGAAGGAAAATGTAGTATTATTATACACAACAACCAACTGAAATCTTTGTACTTCTTCTGAGCATTTCACCAACGTATAATAGTTGCTGCTAATGCATATTTCCTAAAGAATACACAAATAATCCAAATCACCAAAGCCAACCACGACAGACAGAGGAAAAAAAGAGACACGACAGGCACTCATATCACTGCAGATAAATGAATAGAGAATCAGAGAACTACAAATATCAACATATCCAAATCATTTTTACAAGTGAAAAAATCTAAGTTATGCTCTGTGAAGCAGCAACCCATTGTTAGTACTGATAGTTGTCAATAATTGAGTATAATTTAAACAGCAAAGGGGCTCATTTTCAAAAGCAGATTTCATACGAAAGGTAATTTCATTTGACAATAAACATTTGATAACATTTTGTATCATAATGTTTATTAAAATTATAAAAAATTCTTCAAGCTTATATTCAATTTTAACATCTCAACTCATCTCTCCAGCAGTTTAGTCTACAGTGCACAACGGTTCCCAAGAACAGATAAAGTGGAGCTTACTTAACTGGCGATATGTCAGACCTACACAAATGTTTGGGCAAAATTGAAAAGCTTTTTATATAAAAGCTGAGTATCAAGAAACTGTCCAAATTCTTGTGTTGTAGACTATTATGCCACAGTATACTACTACTTGTACTGTCCAAAATGAACATTTCTTCATAGTGCAAGTTTTAAAATTTTCTCCCACTGTTTTACAAAATTTGACAAATAGAACACCTGTAACAAAGAAACCGTTTCTAAAGGTAGAATGGAGAATGAGCCTAATTATATACAAATGGAGCCCAAGAGGCTTTAACTATTTCAATAAGGTAAAAACAAAAACAAAAAAACAGATGAGATACAACAACAGTGACAAAAATTCATCCCCCACCTAGTAAACTTCACTACTTTACATAGATGCTATTTTCATTTTAAACTTCTAGGGTAATTACTGAGTATTTAACATGTGAGAAAAACTTTCCCATTTGTCTCAAATCACATTTGAAAGGACAAGCAGCACAAAGACAGAGGATATTAATAACAAAGCTACTGAACAGCTCATCCCAAGCTATAATGCTCATTTACAGCTCTGAACTCGAAATTTTTTGTCACAACTTATATAACCCATAAGTACAACAGTTTTCATTAATGGATTCAAAAACTTAATAGTGAAACCTGCTATATTATATCATCATCACCATCCTCCTCTCCTGCCCAGGACATCTTACCTTATTCTACACCTTTGCAAAAACCAATTATTATTTATTCAGGGTCTGCTGTGTATAAAAGTTGTATTGCCCTTTGTTAGTTCATTAGTTCACACTTACTTTCTCTTTTGCACTAAACAAAAGAAAAAAATTATCACATCTTCTCAAAAAGTACGGATAATTTTAATAGGTTTGTGAATAAAAAGACAGTAAGTGAATAAGAATAGTAAGAGAGCTCTAGGCATAAAACGATTTAAGAAAAATTATAATGACAACTGTTACAAAAATTATGGCTCTTATTAGTAGGTCACCTTGTACAGAAGACAGGAATCTTTACTTTTTAACATGACAATAACGAGATACAAGTCACATACAATGTCATTATTGAAAAAATAGAAATAAGTATCACTATCAAAATACTCCACATACATAACATATCAGACAAGACTAATTTTCAATTAAGTCACTGTATGTAATTAAATGACATTTAGCTTATTTAACATGTAGAAGTACCTACCAACAAGATTCCTGGGAACCTGAATAAAATCCTCCACAAATTCCAAGAAACTCCTAGCCTTTTTTACAGCATCAGCACTCTGCAGGGGGAAACAAACATGAGATAAACCCTGAAGAAAACTCACATTCCAAAACAAAAACATGAGAAAAGTCTGAATTATGCTCTCGTACAGATTCTGCTCAGTTCACTAGAGCAACATATCAGGTCAAGTAATTCATGATGTACTTAAAAAAATAAAAATAGGCAGGCATTAAAAGGTTAGAAAAAAAGTACTATTAGAACCAAAACATATTAGACATTTCTAAGGTCCCCTTTAAGCACCTGAGAAAATTAGCAAGAGAATTTAACTTACTTATGTAGGCCAAATTTTAACCCAGTCCTAAATTCATTTGGTCCATTCTCCCATGTTGAACTTCTCCAAGTTAATATTAAAAACAAACTATTCCTGGGCCGGCCGAGTGGCGCGTTGGTTAAGAGTTGGCTTGGGATGCCAGCTGTGAGCAGCGGGGCCCTGGTTTGGATCCCACATGAGGGCCAGTGACACTGCCCTCTACAGCTAAGATGGTGAACAACAGCTTGACCTGGAGCTGG